CGTTCTACAGCATATTCATTACAATTAACCTGATGAATTATGCATTGACTACAAAGAAGCTTGTTCCCACGTAAAATAAAATTAATGTTTACCACTGAAAGCAGTCTTGATTTCTCAACTGAAGTGGAACAGTGTTGATGTGTATCGTGAACAAATACACATGCATATAAACCACATTTTGCAAAAGAGCATCAACTCTTTGCTAACACAATCAACCCTGCCTACTTTAGTAACCTGTTTATGGACTATGTATATAAACAGGTTCAAAGCTCGAGATGAGTAGTGAACATAACAGCTCTTGATCACAATGTATTATGTTCAAACAGGTATATTCAACAGTGACATGCTCTGGCTACGATGATTTCGTTACCCAATATTTGTCCATCTCCTTTACATGCATATTTTTACTACAATATGAGCCCTGAGCGAGACCAAGAGAGGGCGCAATTTTCCTAGCAATGGAGGCTCCTTTGGTTGGAACAGCACTTCGCTGGTTCACAAATGACTTTGAAATGCATGTGTTACGGGCACTTCGCTACCAGAAAACTATTCACTTCCGACCAACATGGCTCTTTTTAACTGATGAGGGGATGCTTGTGCTCAAGGTATACGTAGATAGCAGGGACAAACTGTTGCTGCTACAGTCCCTTGTCAGTGGGGCAAGGAAAATCTTATTAAAGGTTGTCAATATTTTGCCTCAAAATGACCTCATTTGCAGTGCATCAGTGTATTTTAGGCAATTTTTGTCAAGCTAAGAGCATTCTTTGTGGATCAATCACTGTTTAGTTTGGAAGTGTTTCTGTCAGGGATTACCAAAAGTTGAACTCTGTTCTTCGATCAGCAGAGATCAGTAGAATGGAATCCTACAGTGACAACAGGTGTAATAAGAGTTTGTAACTGATGAGTGTGAGACAAATGATCGATGATTTAATTCTGTGTTCGAACTATTTTTATGTTTAAGAAAAAACTTGTTTTGTGAAGAATCTGTGTTTTGGTGCAGTGACATACAATGTACTTGTGCAAAAACAAGCACTTTCCTCATTTAGTCCTTGCTTAATTGAAGAAAGCAGAGTTTGTGAAATAAGAGACTTTGCTCTCATATTCTTGGCTAACTTGAGTGTGTCATTGCTGACTTTCTTTGGGAGTCCATGTCAACAGAAGAATGACTTTCAAAGTGGGAAGGGGGCAGTCGTGAGTCCATCAAGCATCAGCCATTAAAACAAGTAGCCATGTTTCAGGAATTGTAAAAAATCATAGGACCTGCAAAGAAGGGGGGAGCAGGGGCCAAGCCCCCAATCGGAAAAGTGGAAGGGGGGGGGGCACTGGTCCCCCTGCCCCAAGCCCTGCCCCGGTTTGCGACATGACAGATGTTTAGAGAAGATCGTGAGAATCATTACTGGGGGAGACTGTTACAAGGCAGTGGTGTCAGGATCTGCTGAGATGAGAAACCTCAAAGAACCTCAAATGAAAAAGCACCGAAGAAAGTTGGCAGAGTCACAGGAACTGAACTTGTTGAGCTTTTCTGTGAGGATGTGATCTGAGGCTGGGGAAGAGCAACTAGAAATGGGAAGACCAGCCCAAGAGAAGATCCAGTTGAAGTTGGTGTGACTGGCAAAGGTGACAGGCAGACTGGAGCGAAACTCAGACCAGGCTGTGTTGGTGCACGTGATCTGAGGACAAGACCACGGAGGGACCATCCCAGGAGCGGCAGAGTGTGCCTTGTACTGAAGACAGTCTACAGACACTGGTACAGTGGTGAGTCATTCTCCTTGCAAGTGTGTGGAAGTTGGCAGAAGTGATGCAATAAGTGTATATGCTGAGTGGTTTGTGTACTTTCAAGATATTGCGAACAGTTCTAGGGATAGAATCGATCGATCTGACAATGATGAAGAGCTAACGTACACTAGAAATGTAAACAATGAATTACCAAATGTCTAATCCAACTGGCTAGTCCAGTTTGAACTGGAAAGGATTGAAGTGCAACAGAGAGACCATGAGCTGAAATTCAGCGAGAATAATGGCTTCAAACAGAGAAATAAGAAGGGGTGAAAATGAAAGAAGTAAGGAAATGATGGATGCACCAAATGTTCAAGTTCTAACAGAAAGTTCTGAGGGATTCTGATGACATTGACATCAGGGTTACCCTGCCAATTCAAATGTAAAGGCGGTCCACCTCACTGATTTCAGTGACCACCTCAGGCTTTTCTGTTGAATTTTACCACCTCACACTTAAAATATGGACAAAGACAGAAGGAAAAGCAACATAATTTACGTATTTTGATATAGATGCAAATTGTAATGATAAAGAGGGACACAGAATACAATGTCGATTATTTTTCTAAAGAGGAAATCCAGACTGAACGTACTATTATACTATTTGGACTTTATTTTAGGCCATTTTGAAAATACTCCCTTTTGTTTTAGGTGCTCCAATTTAGGCAACATTTGTTTGACCATCTCACACATATCAGTACCCCAAGGGAAACCTGATTGACAAATATCTTTGAAAATTTGAAGGTCATGCATGAATGACAGAAAGAGCCAGAGAAGCTGAAGTAGGTAAGCCTTTGGCAGACTTAGCTGTGATAGCTTAAAGAGGGTTATGATCATGAAGCACTGGCTGAAGGCTAATGCTTGCAGAAAAAAAATTAGTAACAGTAGGAAGGGAAGTAATGAGTCTGACAGGGAATGGACAGTCAGGATATATCAGACGTTTATGGATGACTTCAGACAGGGTTGAAAATTTGTCAGTTATGAAGAAGGTTGTGGTATCCACAACCAAATATTGTGATATTTGGTTGTTTGGCTTGGAAGCAAGAATCTAGACAGTTAGCTGATGATTATGTAACAATTAGGAATGGTCTCATGAATCAGGGAGATAGGCAAAGGCTGAAATCTAGAGACATAAGGGAGGAAAAGGGACAGTTATTCATTTTACTGAATAGAGTGAAAGTATCAGGTAGAGGTTGCTCAAGTTCAGGTTCTCAGAAACAAGACCTAGAAAGGACCTACATGCACATGTATAATAAGTGTTTTAAGTGTTATGAAATGGTCATAGATGGTTGGAAAGCTGATAGCAGATAGATGCTAGCATGAAAGAGCAAGCAAATGCACAGCCTAAGAAAGTGATTGTTGGTGTAGATACTAATACTTTTTAATTAAACAAGAGTGTCGGGAAATGAAGCTCAGGGATGTGACAGGGGTACGACCATGTGGCATGGTCGATTACATGTACTTCACATGTAGACTGTGAAATATTTAACTGGGTGGATTGAGGTGGCAGTGGCCCCCAGATTACTGTAAATGCTACTCCGGTGGGTAATGAAGTAGGGTTACGTTATGCACCAGATGATCTTGCCTTAGCATTTATGTGCAGAAAGGATACAAGAAGCAAGATACGAGGGCAAGAGTGTACTAAAGTTACAAAAACTGACGTTAAAAATACGTAAGTTGTTGCCAGGCAAAAACGAAACTGAGGAAGTGACATTACGTGAAGATTCAGAAAAGTTCATAGGCACTGAGGAATCTAGAGACTGTTATGGTACATCCACAGAGAAGCTACTGGCTCATGTTGTAAAAGATGGTACAAAGTTGTGTAAGAATTTTAAAAATGATTTGGGATAGAGTGATACCTGAGAAATATATATCGCTGAGGAAAGAGTGTGTCACTTTGTGAAAAATGGGATCTTGTTCGTATAGAAAATGGAGTCCTTAACAAGCTCAAAGTTTGGATGATATTTCAGATCATAATTCAAGAGACATACAGAACAAATACAGGTATATCATGCATGGCATGATACACCACTAGCTGGACATCTTGAAACAGATAAAACCAATAAACGTCAAGCCAAATCTGCATTCACATGTGGATAATGTTGTACGTGTAAGTCATGTGACTGATGTCAGAAAATGGCACGGCATAATGGAGTGAGCGATGCTCATGCCAAAATGCTTCCTTTTTATTAATAAGTGCACAGTGAGAAATAGGCAACTACATACCGTGAGGCTATACCAATCTCAAATCAATAAGCAAAAGCCACTGCTGATCAGGCTGCTGGCAAGGGTAGGAATATCAGAAGAAATCATCTCTATCTAAGGGACACACTTCATGTCTTGACTTATGAAAGAAAAGTAAGAGCTTCGTGGTACATGTATTAGTCATTAAAAGCAAGTCCACGTCACCATCGGACCACAGGTCAAATACTACAGTTTAACAGGACCCTAATTTGCATACAGAGCGAGTTGTGGGAACACGCATTTGTCTCCACATTCTTTATCTCCACAACATCTGTGTTTCCATGCCTACAACTAACTATGAATCAAGTATATTCTGACTAATCTATAATTATGCACGATGAACCTTGAGTGACAAGCCCGACTTCGGATTGACCTGATTTGTACCCCCTAAAAGTACAAAATGCAGCCAACAATAACTTACGGTTATAGTCAAGGTGACTTTTACTACCAACCTCTCTCTTCTTTGCTGGGGGGGTGGGAACTTCTACAGAGAGTGGTTGTGGCACTTTATACTCTTGACTAGTTACCAATTTCACAATTTAATACCTCTAATAATAATTATAAGGAACATTTATATTGCGCCGATACTATACAAATATACTCAACTGCACACAACAATACCCATCACTAGCAGAGATGAAAATCAGGTGTTGGAGAAAGCTTCACGAAAGAGAGGGGTTTTGAGAACCTCTCTAAAATTGAGGTTAAAACCTAAAGTTACAGAACTTTACAAGGAGCATTTTAATGCTATGACTGTTAGAAACTCATCCGCAAGCAACACATGATGCAGAAGAGCATCTGTATTACATCTATGTAAACCACAGTGTTCAGAATGAATCAGGAAAAGTTCGCAGAGCACAACAGTACAAATAGCGACACCACGTGAAGCACTCTCGGCCAATGCAGAAAGCTAAATCCGTTTGAGCATTGTTTTAACACATGCAGCGCTGTGTTTGAAGATGACAGAGCAGACGGCAACTTACTTTGTGCTGCGTTGCCTGGCTTCTTGAAGTGGTCCCCATTCCAGATTGTTGACTGTGAATACCTTCCTTCCGTCTTCACCCTGGGAAAAGTTGAAGACAAACTATTAATTTCAATGCCCCTTGACAAATCGAATCAAAAGTTCCAATACCAAAGGGTCAACAGTTTTCAAAAACACTCAGTTTTGTCAGTCAAGAAACTTGGGGGAAATGGTTACTGGCAAAACCCAAACATGAAGAAATCTAATTGCAAATAAATGTGAAATTTGAACAAAATGCGTTTCTTGGCTAAAGGATCTTTATCACAAAGACAACCGATGGACATTTATGAAGTTTCTCCTGACTTTTCAATGCCTTCTTCTCCCTCACCTGTATTGCCATGACATCCACAGGTTCCGTCAGACCTCGGATGACTGCCAGAGCTGCATTGCCCATCCACCTTCAACCAAAACAAACTAATCTTACGAGACGTCAAAGTTTTGTGGGAGGTTACAGAAACTTCTCCTGCAGTTCCAAACTCATTTTTTTTTTTCATTCATCAATCCAGAGCACTAGGGTTGAAACAGCCTAAATGGACCATGTACAATTGTCACCAGTGGTCTCATGTCATTGGATCCAGCAGCAGTAATAGAGGGTGTAGAACGCAGTGACACATACCTAGGCGTGATTTCTACACTGTAAAGCTTAGAAATGAAGATTTGATGAAAGGACACAGGTGTGAAATATACCATGCTTGCTACTTCTAAACTGATCTAAACTTAAAAGCAACGATGTATAATAACACTGTATTCATGCAGTGAATTCACAAGAAGTTAAACGTAATTTCAACTTTCCTGATGTACGCTGCGGATGTTTGGTGATCAGCTACACGAGGCAAGGATTTAGTACAAGTGGCTATGGGAAGTTGCTGCAGTCAGTAAGCAATGGCTTCTATCACTGACACACTATTTCCAGTTGCATCCGCAACTTCTGGACACATAGCCTTAGTCTCCAGTCAAGACTCACCTCACATCGGATTCGGCATTGGCATACAAGAACCGGGCCAAGCTGTTTGTGGTGCCGACTGGGATGATCCCCAGAGGCCACCGTACACTGATAGAGGCTTCATCTTCTCTGCGCAGCAGCCCGGTGATGACTTCTCCTACTGTACCGTCGCCACCGGCAACCACGACTGCATCAGTGGCTTCCAAGTAAGCAGCTTTCTCTTTTGCGTTTCCTTCACTTTCAGTCTGCACACAACAGAAAAGAAAAGTAATCAATGTTTTAAGAATGTTAAAACAGGTGGAGTAGCATTTTCATCTTAGGAGTGATAACTGGAACAGAGTGACCCGAAAAAAAGGTAAAATTACAAGCAGCACAAGATCTCCAACTGCATTCTTTTTTTATCATACTTTTCCCTTTTTTGCATCAATTGGGCAGATCCAAAATTGAAAGGAATCACAAAATGCTTGTCACAAAATAGTTAAAGTCATCTTTTGTGAGCAAACCGAGATGCAAAACATGAATGCCGTGGTACCGTTTGTTTACACTAAAATTGAGGGTAAATCAAAGAAATCAAAGAACAGTCCTTCTACAATACTACAATTACAAATGCATTCAAAAGTCAACAATACCCAACAAAATGCAATGCACATGCATAATCAATTTTGCAGATTGTTTTCAAGCTCCTCGGATACTGTAAAATCCCTGACAAAAACATTTTCACACTAGCTGTGATAACGAACCTTTACAGAAGTCTACTCAATATATTTGAAAGAGCGATAGAAACACAAACTGACTTTTCTTGAGTTGTCAGGGCAAAGGACAAAAGTAAAGGGACCACGTAAGCCCTGCACACATTAAGTAAGTTGGAATTTATCTTCGCAAGACAGAACTATGAAAACAATGAAGGCAATTCTAGAATGTAATATTTAGTCTGCTTGGGTATTTTTTCTTCTGTTTTTGTGACAGTGTGGCAGGTACATGTAATGACTTCACAAAACAGGTGCATGTATCTTCCCACGCCCTCACCTTTACAATTTCCATGTCAATGCCAGCAAGATGGAGCAGGGGGGCTGCATTCTTGTCAAACAGCTTCTTTGCCTTCCTACAAAGGAACACACAGCAAATGTATTGCAAAAAGGAAAACTGAAACTAACATTTACAAAGCCTAGAGTATGCGTCAGGTATCAACTGGTTTGATCAATATATTACAACTGGACTGGTGTAGTCACGAGTGAAAAATGAAATAGGGGAAATGTTTACAGAACTTGTATTGAGTACAATGCTGCATAAATACAGACCCTATGCAGGAACCATAGATGGGGTGTTGTGACTACTTAAAGCCCAACTACCGGTAATTTTCATTAGTATGTGAAGAAGCCCATAATGCCTTTCTGTGAGTATTCATTATTGAGTGTTGATTATACTGAGTATTAAGTCTAACAAGTATTGAGACAATTTCATATTCTCCTTGTATTTCCACACTGAGTATTGTATACATGTACACTCAGTATCAAGTATACTGAGTATTGTGAGTTACTCAGTGTTCTTCGTCTGAGTATTCAGTGCCAGCCAGTTGTGGTATTTAAGTAAGACTCTCTCTTTGCCATTACTGAGGGGAATAAAGGGACACAAAGCCCACACCATAAATAACTCACCAACTTAAGCCAAAATTTGGTCGACTCATGCGCAACACTGAACAAACAGGGCAACCTGCCCAACTGGTTGTTACAACATGAAGGTGTGTTTGAAACAAACTTTCACAAAGACACAAAACAGCCTGAATAAATGGGGCCAAGTGAAACTTACCCATTTTTGGCTGCTGGGTTTAAGATCACTGTAACTTTCCTGGGTTTTTCTGTTGCATACTTGATGGTCTCCTGGCCATAAATCTACGAGAAGGTTGAAAGTCTCAAATTGATTAAAGAAAAAAAAAAGAAAAAAACACCTGATCACACTGTACAATTTATTACACTCAGGAAGTATGCCGACTTTAATTACATGCTCTCTAAATAAACTTGAACATGTACAGCGTACATACATTGATTATATCAGTGTAATAGTTGAGACCACTGGAGAACTTCACAAGACCAACACAAGACCTCCAGTCTGAATTCAAGTCACAAGCTTTTCAAATGAACTGCAGCAAAAGTATTCCCTTTTCACCCTGTTACATATGTACTTGTGCATGGTCTCCTGACTGGTCTTGTGACTGGTCTTGTGCATGGTGTTGTGACTGGTCTTGTGCATGGTGTTGTGACTGGTCTTGTGCATGGTGTTGTGACTGGTCTCGTGCATGGTCTTG